GGCCGCCGCCGCCGGCGAGTCCCCGGAAGGAGCCAGGGTGTCGGGCTCCGCGTGGCTCCGGTCCCGCCGCCTCGGAGGCTCCCGGCTCAGTCGGAGCCCTTGTTCTGCGTCGCCCGCAGGGCAGCCCCGCTCCTGCGCGTCCGGGCGCAGACGGCGCCGAGACGCCCCGAGACCCGGCCGCGGGCAGGCTCGGGCGTCGGCTCCAGACCTGGGCCAGGCTGCCCGGCCCGGCCGGCCCGGCTGGACGTCCGCCCGCCGCGCTCGCCGGGTGTCTCCCGCTCCGCTCTCGAGTCTTCCGTGCAGTGCGATGTTGTCGATCCCCGTCGGATTCTGGCTCGTGTTCCCGGCCTCTTGGGGGATCCGGCCAACTGCCGACCGCTGGCGTGTGTTCCGCCCCTCCCGGGACTCTCTCTCTCGCCCTCCCGCCGCTCCAGCCGCGTCCGGCTTCCCTGCGTGGCGCCTCCAGCCCGGCTTCGGCGAGCTGGTGCCGCCCTTCGCCGCCGTCACCCAGCAACCAGATGAAAGCTGTGGGAGCCAGGTGCATTTCTGTCTGGGTGGTGTTTTGATGTTCCATTTTCAGGGAACTCTGTCCTGCCCTCACAGCCATATACACACGACTCAGGTAGACCACATCGAGAAAGGGAAATAAAAAGGACCCGACCGGGCCTGGGGTGTGGTAGGCGAACGAACACCACCTGCTTGGTTACTCAACGCCCCCCTTGGAGGACCCTCCTTCCCCAGCCCCGCTGCAGGGAAGCCCCAGTCACAGGCCCCTGCAGCGTGGTCCTGGGGCCCAGGCTAGCCGATCAGAGCTCCCGACTTCTCGTGGTGCCTGGCTCGAGGACAGCCATCTCTGAGACCCTGCTGGCAGCAGGGAGGGGTGCGTCTTTTGGCTGCACGTTGGTGGTCGTCTTAACTTCTGGAAAGAGCCTACCACCAGAATGAAGTTAAATTAAGCAAGGCTAACAGGCGGAATCTGAGTCCTCCAACGTTGAGTTCCGCCATACTGCTGCACCTGAAACCACAGCCGCCCTTTCTGATTCCCCGATTATATAAGCTAGTAAATGTCCTTTGTTGTTGAAACTAGTTTGAATTCAAGCTTCTGTCGCTTTCAGACAAGGATCCTGACTGACATAGGCTGGCAGTCATGGGCAACAAGAAAATGTGTTTTTCCCCTTCAATTTAGTCGTCCATTAGCAATGCTGTAACATCGAGAATTTCAAACTCCTCCCTCCCCACCCCACCCCCCCACACAAACACAGCAGGAGTGAGGTGAAGTGCAAGGACAATCCTCTTCCATCCTTCAGAAGAGGAATCATGCCAGCTGCCCTTGTGCATAGCGTTTTTGCCTCTTTTAAACAAACTTTTATGTATTAAAAAAAACAATTGAAGTTTTGTACAATATAAGCGCTGTCTCTAATACAAATCACTGATGGAGAGAAACAGGATGCACCCTCAGCAAAGGTCATAGAACAGGCGGTAAAATGTTTGTGTTCTTGAGGGAGGCGTTTTTGCTTTGTCCTGTGGAGGTCATGGACACCTCGGCCCCGACAACAGCCTCTGACTTTCCGGGAGCTTCTGCTAGCTGAGGCAGTTGGGCCGTGTCCGCTGAGTGCTGGAGAGAGTCCTGCTGACCTAAATTCTGAACACGCTTCTTGGGCCCATCTTTTATTTTGTTTGCAGTCTCCCTGGTGACGTCATCTGCCCAAAGGGAGAGAAGACAGCAGGAGGTCTTCAGATGTGAATTACATGCTAACTGTCCTTTAGGCTATACTCACCTTGGGTAGTCATGGTTGTTGATACAAAAACAGTTAATTTGTAAAGCATGTTCTGTGTGGCAGGCATTATTCTAAGCACTAGACATTTACCACTTCGTGTGATCCTTTCCGCAATCCTAGAGAATAGGCATTATCCTCATAAATGGAGAAACTGAGCCACAGAGAGGTTAAGTAAATCGCCCAAGGCCCCACACCTGGTAAGTGGCAGAATCAGAATTTAATCCCAGGAAACCTGTCTCCAGTGACCAGATGCTTAATCACTGGGCTATACAGTATTACATACAAAACTTTGCGTAATGCCATAATCTGTAACTGACAGACATTCAAAAGGTAATTATAGGGCATCAGGTGGACACAGTGAAAGAAGAAAGAGGAGAAAGGGAGTTGAATATAGGAGAAAAATGGAAAATCCTAAAGATAAGGAACCCAGCTGAAACCAATTTTCCTGAGAGAGGAAAATCCCAAAGGTTAGAAATGGCTAGTCATGATACAGCCAGAGGACTTGTCCAAGGATGAGTTCAGAGAAACAGACACACAAAGCCTTCAGAAATGCCTGGATCCCTGATGGGACTAGGACTAGCTATTTGAGGGTCTGTACCTTTTTTGCTCGAGTGATGATAGCCTTGCACCTTGTCCTTCCTTGACTCAGAGGGGAAACAGAAACTGGAATTCCTAAGGGTCTGGGCTCTGGGCCGTGGCTTGAGGTTCCGTGACTCATGAATCCAAGCATGCTTGAGAGCCTGCTCAGGGGTCATTCGAAGGGAAGGTTCCCATCTGCACACCAACAAAGCCCAGCGTGGATTATTATTTTACGTCCCCTTAATTAAAACGCTTTAAAAACCCAATAAAGATATTTTTATTTACGCTATCTTATCTCTCATTTCAGTTTCCAAACTATGGAATTTGGGCCTCCACATATATCATAAAGAGGGTTTGAGTTCTTGAATCTTAAGATTTATAAGGGGATATAATCCAGGCAAAATTCTAATGCAGTTACAGAACACATTTCACAGAACTCCCATCGTGGGATCACCTTGCTATTTTCAGGTAATTTCAGTGATGAGGCACTAACTCACAGAACCTCCTATTCCAACTTCGGCGAACTCCAGCTCTTTAAAACGTCTTTATTTTTATTGAGTTAAAACTGGGCTTATTTTTTAACTAGAAAAAAATGTTACCAGGTCCTAATCTACTCAGCATTTTACAAAATGAAATGACTAATCCTTATCTTATGTTATAGTCCTTCAACTGTCTGAAAACGTTTACATCACTACTAACTATTGATCACATGATAGAGTTTTCACCCTTTGGCCACCTTCTAAGACAGGAAATTTTAGCTATTGTCTAACTGGTACCTGTCATGTCTAGACTCATCACCGTCTTTAAACAAATGTGATCTCCCAATTCTTTTGTCAAAGAACTGATGTTTACCTACATCTCTCCTCTCCCGCACTTTTGGAGTTAGTCTATAAAGTCTAGACACAGGGCTTTCCATGTGCACCTATTTAATTCAGCTCAAAACTTTTAGTCACTCATTCCAAAGCTTTGCTAGTTAGCAAAATAGGGATAAGGTGACAGTCCCCCATCAGCTCGATTGCCTCTCGCAAGTTGTAAGCAGTCAGTCCTTTGCATAAAAGAGGACAATAACATCTTCCTTGGTGCTGAGCCGTGTTCTAGAGTCACTGGATAACTCATCTCTGTCTCAGCTGTCAGTTTCTGTGATGTTTCACTGCTGAGCTAGTATCTAAATCCTAGAGTACTTAAGTGCCAGAAGAGCTTTTGCTAAAATGATTCCACCCCACTGGAAGAATGAGAGAATACAAAGATGTGGTCTTCTGAAAATACTAATCAATTTTAGGACCGACAGAGCTGGAAGGAACCTTAAGAATATCCCATTTTATAGAAAAGGATGCTGAGGCCCAGAGAGAAATCATGACGTGCCAACACTGCATTGCTAATCTACCTGCCACTAAGTGGAGACAGACTTACAAAACCTCTTTAATAGTGGCAGAATAGTCACAATAGTTAACATTTCCTAAACACCCCTCAACTGGGCAATGTGCTGGCCTTATGCGCTAGTTTCTTTTCTTACCATGAATTAAGTTACAGACCTAATTTCTAAGATTCAAAATACGCACATAAATGGCAAAAAGTTGTACATAATAAATGGTTTACAATGCATTCTTCTCCTTATTCCCTAATTCAGGAAGATTCGGGCACTAAATCCTAGGAGGAAGGGGAAGGGGCCCTGAAACCAGTTTATACTTATATGGGGTGTGTGTGCAAGTCATCAAAGCAGCCACTCCAAAGAGGCTGGATTCGGTTCAGGCGAACAGAAGACATTTAGGATTAGCCACTCGCACAGTCAGGCAGGCCGAGGCTAAGAGGAGGCCAAACTCTACCCACACGCTGTTACCCAGGGCCGGTCGCTTATCCTCTTTGATGCCAGCCTCCCTATCCACAAAACAGAGTAAATCATCCTCATGTTCCGGGGAGATGACAGTCACACAGTAGGGCCAGAGAGGTGTCTGACGAGACAACAGATGGGAAAGCAATCTGTAGACTTGTAAGCTCGATCGTTAGTATTTGTCATTGTTATTTTCATAACTATCTCCCAGCCTTAGACTTTCCCCAGCAAATGAGTGAAGTACAGTATTTAAGAGGAAACCCAGAGTCAAAGATACCCCAACAAACTCACACCAAACACCTTCTGAGAAAGTCCAGGAAGCTCGCGTCGTAGGTTTTCAGCACCATCGTGAGATCCTTGGAATCTGGGTATCTTTTTTTCCCCCTGTTGTTGGTTATATTTTTAGGAAAACCTTTGGAATCTTTAGAAATACAACATTCTGTATTTAGTCAGGTGTAAATATTCAGTGGTCTCATCACAACTGTCCACTCAACAATGCTGCTTCTTGGAATGGTCTTTGGAGCTTTTTTTGCTCTGTCCCACCCACCTGCTTCATACCACCCAACCTCCCACACATAAACATACCCCCAGTCTCAGTTTGAAATAACCACACAGACACCACCCAATAAATGCAATTAACTTTAAAAACAAATTTTCCTACTATTCAATAGGTTCTAAGTCTCTTTCACACACCTGCATCCCAAATCAAACAAATAATTTAAATGGCTTAACATTAACTGATGTTAAATAATAATGATGGTTATAATATCAAAAACAATAACAAAATAAATCTGAGTGACAAAAAATATTCAGGTTCTGAACAAAAAGGGCATTGTCCCTCTTTGGATTATCTATTCCCTTGCTCCTTCTCTACTAGCCCAATAAAGTGAGAACTGGGGACAGCCATGAGGTAGAACAAGGAATCCATTTTAGGAAAACGTTTTCAGAGCTCATTTACAGGCCACACAAGCAAATTAACCTTATTACTTCTTTGGAGTTGCACCAAAACTTTGTCTATAAAGGGAACACTCAAATTTGGTTGGCTGCTCAAGACATAACTTGGAATAGCTTTCTCTAACAATTTCCACTAATTAAATTCCTCACCAAAGGTATAACTGACGATCCCTGAAAAGAAGTCCTGAAAAGAGCTCCAGTGGCTTCCCAGGGATGCTGTGTGCCAGGCTTCGAGGGAGAGATCACTCATTTGCACATCCAGATTCTGGTGTGCATGTTCAGAAGAGCTGAGCACTGGTTCTCACTCTTTGCAAGTCTGCATGTACACAGGTGGGTTTGTGTATGCACACACACAATTCTCACATTAAACTGAATTCCCTGGAAAACTCAGTGGAGTTCGCATGACGGAAGGTCCATAATGAAGGTCTATAATGAAGTACTTCTGTGATTGTGTAACCCATGCCATTTTGCAGGGCGTCCAGAAGAACATCTGCTCTTACCAGACTTCTGCAGGGCAGGCTTCCAAGCATGAGTATGTGTGTATCTCCGTCTTTCCATGGATAAAATGGGCTGGGGCTACTGTATTGTATGTGAGAAATACAAATCCCCATTTGCTTTGGAATTGTGGCATTAGCACTCCCACTTCATCCTATGTTGCTCTTTTGACAAATGACCAAAGAACCATCAAGTTCACAGTCTTATAAAGAACATAGCTCCTAAGGTTATTACTATGAACTCGCTGTCTGTGCACAAGTTTTTCTCATCCCTCCAGCCCATCCCAATGTCTAATCATTCTCTCCAGCCCCTTCTTGTTGCCCGGGCCACCTAAGTATCATACTACCCTTGAGACAACATCATTTTGCCACTAATTAGGGGTACTGACTAGCAGTGGCTGGAGTTTGAGGAGTTGTTGGCCACCCAAGCATGGGAAAAGGAGGGTCAAGACCTGAAGTGGGCAAGGGCTGTTGAAAACGAAGACTCCTGGGTCTGATCTCAATACCTACTACATCATAGCTTACGCAAGAGTGTCATGGGAATAGCTTTTTTTGCCACATGCCCAAATGATTCTTACAATAGGGTAACGTTTGGGAAACATGGAAGAGGATGCAGTTTACAGAAATGTCCCTTCTTGCGCAGGAAGCAAAGATGTGGATATTGCTACCAAAACCCCGCCACCATCCTAAAACCCAGTGCCGACGGTAGAAATCAAGTGGTCTGTGAAGTGGACATGCATATATCTTTGCATCTCCCTGCTAAGATACTATACATTCCCTTTCTGCTGGGCCCCCACCTAGAGCTGTCTCATGAGTTCAGTGTTATAGGCTTCAGCTGTGAACCCACAATGTCTTTGTCTAGCAGGAGAGCACCAATATCCCCCATTCAGCTTGCCCAAATCCTAAAAGTATGTCTCGGTTCCAAAGATCAGTCCCATTGCTTCTTGTGTAAGTTGCGTGGAGGAGTCAGACAGATTCTCCTCTGCCTGCCATCAGACTGCCCTGGAAGCGAGGTCAATGTGTGGGCATTGTTCTAAGCAACCTGGATACAGCAAGGTGTTCACAGCAAGGTGTTCACAGCTCCAACCATGATTAGAAGGTGCTGCTTCAAAGAGTCAATCTTTAGGAGGAATGGCCTGGGACTGACTAATCAGAATGGATGGTTGACGGCCATGGCACTGAAGTAGGATCATGGAGCACTTCTGCATGTTTGACCTTCAGCTTTTCAGCGTTTTGGATCATGGAGAGTCCAAGGAGTCCTGGGAGAGGGCTGAGAGCCTGTGGCTGTCGCGGGACTCAGAGCTGTGGTGTGTTGCCAGATGGAACAGGAACAGAGCACATTTTAACCCTGACATGGTTGAACTAGTTTATACCAACCAGCATGACCCAAGCCCCTCTCTGGCCCAGAGAATTCCCCATGAGAGTGTTTTTGACCCTCTGGTTAATAAGGAAGGTTGTGGTGAGAAACTGGGCCATTTGCCTACCCATTCTGAGGTCATTCTCCTTTGAAAATAAAAAGGAGGAGGACTAGCAATGACCGTGAGTATAGCGAGAGTGAGTCCGTGAACTAGCCTGACAACAGCTGGTCAGAAATGTCGCCCCAAATAGCGTGGAGTTCCTGTCTGTGGAGTCTCCTTCCCCCTGTCTGGCTTGATTCCTCATGGCTGACCTCCAGGACACTCCAGCTTTTTCTACCTGGGACTTTCTTAGCTTTCTGGAGTTCTTCAAAGGGATTCTGGGTCTGAGACCTGCTTCATCTTGTCAGTGCACACTGCCCTGACAGCCCTGCCTCCATTGGTGCCTTGCTGATCGTCTATCCGTCTTATCCAGTGCCACTCAAAGAGAAAGACAGGCTCATGAAATCCAGGGTCTGAGAACTGCGAGAAGGGCAACCCGGGCTGTGGACGAGGCACACTCCCAGCAATCAGACAGACGACCTTGATGCAATCGACCAGCCAAACATAGCAAAGCACACTATTCAGACAGCCTTGCTCACCTGTTTTATACCAGAGTTGCAATGAACTTGGGGTAGTACGGGTCTGGAGGATTGAAACAATTTTAGCAGGAAACAACAATGCTCTATTAATGATACAGAGTAACGATGGAATTTCTCACTATTCTTGACACGAGGCTTCCTCTCTTTGACTTCTCTGCACAGTGCATAGTGTGACAGAGCAAGTCACTTGGGGAGGTGGAGAGAACGTCTAGGAGGGAGTATAGATATAATCTCTTGAGGCTTCACTATCTACTGATAGCTCTTCCGAGCAGGGACCTGGTCATTCTCCTGCTCTTGCACATTTTTACTGCTAAGACCCCATTGTTTGCCATTGTCACAGTTGATATGGAAGGTGGATGTGGAAGGTTGTGGCGAGAAACTGTGCAATCTCTAGTGTAGCCGCTACACTACTGCAATGTATAGGGGTGCACACAGATGGAACGCCATTGAGACTCCCCCCCATTCCATCTCTAACATGCTGACTGATTCTTTTTAAGTATCTTTTTTTTTTTAGAAAGCAGGGTTTATTGAGAAGACAGAAAAGCTCCCACAGAGAGAGGGGACCAGAAGGGGTTGCTCCTCTTTTTAAATACCTTTTAGCTTTTCTGAAAGAAGCTTGTACTTGCAGCCTGCCCTGGGTATTGGGCTAGTGGAAAGGCACTTAGTGAGGTTCAAACTATGGGAGGTGTCCTCAAGGCCCACGATGCCTCATTAGACACAATGGGGAAAGAGAATTAGACCTGAGGACTTACCAAAGAACGTCTGTCTCCTGGAGGCCATCTGAATGAAGTGGACTGGTGGCAGGCCCAGAACCTTTGGTAAGTACAGTTCAGTTGGTTTACTCTTTGTAGCAGCACAGGTTCAAAGACTATTAGAGCTAAGGGGGACTGTGGTCGAACTATGCCTTCTACAGATAAAGACTGGGGGATATTAGATGATGACATCAAGTCAGTGGCACAACAGATCCAGCGTCTCGTTCTTAGAACCCCTAATCAGGCCTGTTTCAGGATCCTAAGAATCAACACTGGCCATGTTATTCTAATCAGGCATCAGCCCCAACTAGAAGTGGCCCTACACTTGATAGCGGCTAGATGTTATCATCAGAGCAAATAACTAGTGTACATGCTGCTACTTCTGAATAAAGGAATAACATATCCCAGCAGGGAGCACTGGAAAGGGAGGAGGGGAAAAGGGGGTGAGAGTCACCAGATGGGTGTCCAGCCAATCTAAGACAAAATACTTTTTTTTTTTTTGAGTTGGAGTCTCACTCTGTTGCCCAGATTGGAGTGCAGTGGCACGCTCCCGGCCACCGCAGCCTCGACCTGCTGGGCTCCAGCGATCCTTCCGCCTCAGCCTTCCGAGTAGCTGGAACTACAGGCATGCCCTACCACGCCCGGCTCATTTTTTGATTTGTTGTAGAGATGAGATCTCGCCAAGTTGCCCAGGCTGATCTCAAACCTGCAGGCTCAGGCAATCCACTCACCTCGGCCTCCCAAGGCGCGGAATTACAGGCTGAGCCACCAAGCCCGGCCAAAATACCTTCTTGAAAAGTGTAGCCGCTACTTGTTCCCCTTTACCTACTGCAATGTACAGGGGTGCACAGAGATGGAGAACTTACAGCCTGGGTTACATACCCTTGCTTGCTGGGTTCCCAACCATAATCTGGGAACCATGACCTTGCCCTCCTGCTTTTCAGCCCGTTGACACTGAGGTCAAGAGGAGCTGAGTCAGTTCGGGGCAGTAGGAAATTTGACCCACAAGCCTTATTTTCCTTGGTACTAGAAGCATGCATAATTTGGGGTGCTTCATAAAATCATGCATTAGAAGTCAACTACTCTGATACCCCTCATTTTATAGTCAAATGACTAGCCAAAAAGACAGAGCCAGGGCTAGACCCTGGGTTTACTGACTCCCAAGTCAGTGTTAATTCTACCATGGGTACTATTTATTGTTATTTTTACCTAAATTATTTTAATATTTTACTATTAGTTTCAACCATGAAGTGAAATTATCTATATTAATAATTCTCAAGGGTGTGTATGTCTTTCTGATTATCTGTAACTTTGAGACAGTGTGAGAAATAGAAATGTGGCATGATAGATAGAGCTTTGTTCACTGGGAAAATCCTAAAATTTGAAATTTTAAACTTTTAAGAGTTATTTCCCCCATTTTGCCTAATTTAACTCCATAACAAGATGGCTTTTAGTGAAATAATAATAGATATAATTAATAATCATGAGTCTTAATTAAAGCCCTTTATTGAGAGTCTTCCAAGAAACGATAGTGAAAGACTAATAACTGAACAGTACATGTTTTTATGTCAATCCTTTATAAGTCTAATTAGTTGTTTTCAACAACTTTGTACTCAGGTTGTCAGCTGAGAGGTTGGTAAAAATTATTTTTGATGACCAGCTACCATTTGATTCTTACAGAGAACTCAAAAAGAGTCACTGAATCAGACAACGTAGCTAGAACAGATTTCCTTGCTGGACTGACATCTACCTGACCAGCCAACTGGAATGGCATTGATCCGGAACCTAAGCATTCTAGCAAGAAATACTACCCACCTACAGGTCCAAGCACAAAAGAGAAAACCCAGCTCTTTTCTTTCCTCTAAGAGCTGTACAGTCAATGAACTTTCTCATTTTGTTCTAAATTTGTGCACTAGATATATTTTAGTGGTAATTCACCAGAAAAAAAGTACATGTGAATCTTATGTCAACAGGAGATAAATTAAGTTATAATGACTGGTTTTAAGATTTCCAAATATAAAATTCTATTAAGTTACAATAAAATTCTGTGGAGGAAGTAGAGTATAAAAAAAAGAGTTTGGGCTGGACTCAGTAGCTCAGCCTGTAATCCAGCACTTTGGGAGGCCGAGGTGAGTGGATTGCCTGAGCCCGCAGGTTCGAGACCTGCCTGGGCAACTTGGCAAGACCTCGTTTCTACAATAAATAAAAAATTAGCCAGCGTGGCAGCGTGCATCTGTAGTTCCAGCTAGTAGGAAAGTTGAGGCGGAAGAATCGCTTGAGCCCAGAAGTTCAACGCTGGGGTGGCCGTGAGCGTGCGTGTCACTGCACTCCAGCCTGGGCAACGGGGTGAGACTCTGACTCAAAAAAAAAAAAGCTTAAAAAAAGATCAAAGTAAATATAATATACAACTGTGAAGGAAGTCTGCGTGCTTCCAGATAGACTTTGGTAAGTGTCATGTCACTCTTGTCTTTGATTCTTTTGGATATATTTGAAAGACTGGCTGGACTCAGTGGCTCAGCCTATAATCCCGTGCCTTGGGAGGCTGAAGTGAGTGGATTGCCCGAGCCCACGGGTTCGAGACCCGCCTGGGCAACTTGGCGA